AAAGTACTTCCCGGATGTATAGTGCTTGTGCGTAAGAATTTGGTGGCGGTAAATATCTTTTGAGCATGAGTTTCCACTAGATAGCAAACAGGAAACCACGGCTCCTGATCGAACAAGTCAGACAGAATGTGACAAATAGACAATTGAGACAAGCATACTTTTCAAAGTGGGAACTCACCGGAGCTGGTTCTGCGATCATGTCACTCTGTAAACCGTTCTGGTCTTTTTCAGAGACCATTTCGACATCGTCAACTTTAATCATATTGGTGCATGGTTTAAAATGTATTTCCCCACCGTCTAATTGTGACACAGTTTCGTTAGTTTGATGCTGCGTCTTCACTTCACAGGTGCTCGTTTCCATAAGGTCCGTAATGTCCTCGGCTGTCGGTATTACCGAGGACTCAATTGGATCCCTGGAACCGGCAAATTTAGAGAGACATGGGCCCTCACCAGGTCCCTTGTGTTGGATACTGTGCATTTCGGCGGCATACAAATCTTGAGGTAAGAGTAAACCAGCTGTTTCGCGGAAAGGCTTCAGCTCTTGCGATATCTTGACATCATAAAAGGTGAAGAGAAGGCACAACAGTAGCTATGAAGGATAAAAACTGATGAAAACTGATAATGCGTTGGACAACTACAATCGCAGTGTCGATACACAAAAAGAAAAAAACTTGGAATACTGTTTGTGATTTTTATTATTCATTATTTTATTGCCTACATCATATTGTGTCGTACTGCAGCATAATAGCTGAGCGGAATGATGCGGATACAGTTGAGGATAAATTCGGATTTGAGACAGGTTTAAAGTAATCGGATGTGCACAGCCAACACAATGAGTGGCTACGAACGAGCCAAGAGGTAACATTTTCCGAAGCAAGCAGAACCACATAAACGGCACGTTACGATGTGAGTTGCGCTTCTGCCAAAGTGAAAGGCATAAGCATGATCCAACGGAACCGTGCGTAGTTTACGAGGATCTATCAACTCGTGGTTTTCACTACGAATAGCATGTCGCTCAGAAAAGTGCATATCGGCGGTATCAATTCTTTCTGGAGCATACATTACCTAGTGTATCCGGTCATTTCATCGTGTCCGTGACGGAGTTGTTCACAACTGAGACATTGTCTGCTTAATCGACATCATACAGTTACCGCTTTCGATTCTACCTTCGTTTTACTTTAGCTACTCCGAACTTGTTAAGCAATGTTATCGTCCTGGATAAGAGTATCATGGAAACACTGGCCACGATGTTAGCTCTTTCCCTTATTTGCGATTTAGGTCAAAAACACCACGTTCCTCAAAGGTCCAAAACTCAGCAGCAACAGCAGCATTCAACGAATCCAAGCAAAAGTACGTTGCACGAGCAGCCACCGAAACGGTGCAAGTATGATTAAAATCAATGCATACGTAGAAGTCAGCTCAAGAAGGTATAACTTCGGGGGCAGCTAGGTCAATTGTCAAAATTAAAAGTTTAGACTCACTTTAACCACTGATAATGTAGTTACGTAAGTCATGTGACAGAACTGGAGGTTCCTGAAAAGAGTTGTTGTATATGCTGCGCACTATTGACTCAAACCACCTTCTGATGAAGATAATAGGTTATCCTGGGATACTTTACTTCCACCCGAAGCATCGCTCTTTAATGGATGATAAAGCCAGTTGATCTTCTTGTCTTGCGTTGTGACGCCCAGGACTACGGAGTTGCACCTTGAAAGCTGGCCAGTGAATAGTATCTCCATCGCGGCACTCTGCAACATCACCTACAGAACAACACAGTTCTACTCCTCAACTGGACTTCAGTTCACCTGCCTTCACCAAGTCCAGAAAAATATGAGACGCGCATGCTTTCGTCAAACGGTTAAAGCAATGGCCGTTTTAACATCAATTGAGAGCTAATCAAGGTAACGAAAGTAGGAAGTAGCTTTAATGTACGCTTCAACTCATTCACAAAGAAAACGGTTTGCATAATTCCACGGGTTAACTTTTCGAGTTGTGAACCAGCTCTAAGCATTCTCACTAGGTGCCGCAGACAATCACATACTCTTTGCACACATGAGAACACGGGGTGTAGTGACAGCCGGTAGTTTGCGAGAGACTGATGTGAGACCATGAGACAGAAAGGCACTCTCAAATGGCGGTTAACCTGTTCGCTGAGCTTGGCAATTTTGTTGCAAATGTTTCATCACCAATCCAGGTGACATCGTCAGTGCGTTGTTTGATAGCCTGTAGTAGCGTAGCGCAGCGTAGGGAAGTCTCAATGAGAATACTGAATATTGAGAATAGAGAGCGAGAATATAAAAATCTGTGTTGCTCCATCGTAGGTGGATCGGGCACATGCGCGGAATCACGTCGCTGATTCCTGCGCAGTGGCAGCAGATTGCAGCTGCACTACATCTTATCCGGGTGCGATACGCTCAAAATATACTTGTAGTCCGCAAAGTGAACATTAAATTCCGACACCGATTTCATCTCGACTGGCGTCTCCGGCAAGTTGTCCCAATGCTTCACAATCCCACGGTCGAAGCATAGAGGGTATCAGCAGTTTGTACCGGTGTCCGCGTGTGCTGCTTGGTGCGCGAACCTGCAGCAACAGTTTCAACATAGGGAAGTGGTCCAGGTGAACTATCCGGTGCATCATAATGTGATCAACTCGAAGCCGACTATATGACAGGGTATAAAGACCTTGTGTCCTACACCGGTCCTCGTACGACATACCCCATAAGCTGGGGATGAGTCGGGTAGCTACATGCTGAACTCGTTCCAGTCTCCGCACCTGACCTATTGTGATCGGACAATAGGTGGGTGAACCGTACTCAAGCACCGGTCTTATTATGGAAAAGAACAGACGGGTGACAATCTCCTCAGACCAAGTGCGGAAACTGCGGCAAAGTACCGAAAGCGGGCGCAGTCCTTTTACATACAGTATGTTCGTGTTGTCGACAGACTTTACGGAACTGGTGGGATGCAGTGGATGGCCGGCCAGGGTGTACGCACGCCCATTACCCCCCCCCCCCCAGGCTCATAAACGAGGACTTGGCCGGGTTGATCAGTAGGTCAACTTCTGCATACCACCAGGATAGGTGGTCAAGGTACTGCTGAAGGATGTCAGTCGTCGGGAGAATCCATAACCATCTGAACAACCTGAGCTACCGGTTTCGTTTCTATAGTTAGAAAGTCAAACAACCGCGACCCACGAGAGTTGATGATAAATACAAAGACCGGAGGGACATTCTACATCATTGGTTCAGTTAAGCACGAAGAAAACTCAATGTGTCCCCGGGACAGAATTGCCGTGCAATGGACGCAGCAGCAGAAGAAGCGAGAGACAGCGCGTACAGCCTAATGAACTCACGTAGACAGCACGAGAGGTGGCAAGGGGGATCGTTCAATGAAGAGCGGATATGTGGAACATCGGTTCAAATTTACTTAAGGTACAAACGAACAACAGATACATGATGACCATGAGGAAATCGAGCTGACAGTGGGATGGAATCGTAGAAGATAAGAGTATGCCAGCATCTAGTCGCTTTTTGTTTTTGACACAACAGCTATGGACACTGAAACACAGCGAGTGATATGGATTGGTACTCCAATAAGGACCGCTTGGGTGCAGGAATTCCAATACCTGAAAAGTGCAAAGCATTGCGACAGGACTGAACCGGCTCACCAGCAGGGAATAGTTGTGTGACATTGTCAACAGGTTTAGTTGGCTGGTTAGCTGTATTATCTCTGGTGGTCGCAGCAATGAGGAGTTTGTAATAGGCATTGCTAAAGCGCACGGAACTTTTCAGACTCGGCAATTCAAGGAGAAGGTGGGGCGTTAGCTCACTGATTTGCCAAAGGTTTGTAGCGCTGTGGTGTTGCTACCATTTCAGAGTGGATCAGAAACTACGTCGATGCTGAGGGCAATAGGAAACCGACAGTGTTTGACTACCGATGCCTGTGAATTACCGTTTACATCTGACGGGAAACTAGAGTAAGCAAAACTGAAGCTCTTCATTTCACGTTTGGCGACAGGCCTCCCGGTGCCCCGCCGAATTCAAATCGCCTCCGTTGGCTCCGCCACATTCCCCACGTGAATACGAGCCGGCCGCTTCGGTGTATTGTCCATCAGAGTGAAACTTCATGATGGTAAGCCAATAACAAGATAGATAAGCGTGAAAAGACGCAATGTTTGGTGGATGCATGTCGTCCTCCGGGATGGGTAACATCAGTAGCTAGGTACCTCATCAGATACGGTGAGGAGAGAAAAAGTCAGTGATGTTGCTGCTCCGTACCACAGTTTTTATCTTCCACCTCCTCCCATCCGACGATTGGCCTTTCGGCAGTTTCTATCGAATTATCTTTTTGCAGCACATTTGTGCACACTTAGTGTGTACGTGCCAAACAACAACAACAACAACAAGAACAACAACAACAACAACAACAACAACAACAACAACAACAACGTCTGCTAGTTGTGAAACAGGGGCATACCACAACAAGAAACGGAGCAATAAGGGCTTGTAACCACGACCAAAGGAACTATTTATCCAATCGACATAAAACTCGTCACATGAGAAGAAGACAACAATCATCCTTTCAATAGAGATTAAATAGTGTGTGACGAGCTCGCCGATGTTCTTCGACACGCTAATCGATCAGTCGGTGTCAACACACATTTAGTAAATTTTGCAAACCTGGCCGATCGCACTTCTTTGGTGGCAGTGTTCTCGTCTCAGTTAGGAGAGGCGAATGGCAGAACAAAGATAATGAGGAAACCAAATAAATAATCTCATGGTAAAAATTAGAAGTCAGACCAATTCGGAGGCGTAGCAACTAAATGTGACGCCCGGGGTGGTGGTAAAACTTTCGCCCCCCCCCCTACGGCAGCTGTAAATCCCTAAAACCCTTCAAATCGGCTGAGGGTAAAGTGCACCCTAATTTTTGATGAAACAGATGATGGTTTTGGACACTGAGGCAAATTGGCCACAATGGAACATGTGAGGGGATCGATCGCTGGGAAGAACGTTTGTCTACAGGTGTGACACGGCGTAAAGGTTTTATTGATCATGCAGAGTAACACAGAAATATCCAACGCTCAGCTTATCTGGAAAATTTGTCCTTTATATATGTAATCGAACAATCACCGGTACTAAAAATGGGGCCAGGGGCGGGTCATTCCCTCCCCGCCCCATATGCTACGCTTCAGAACTGATCTTACCTCGTTGATGGCTCGATACAGCTGACGGGCATATTCTTTATCGTGGGTAGCTTTGTCCGAGATCTTTTTGAATTCAGTTGCAAAAATTTGCAAATTGGAGTTGGCGCTTGCTGAGCCGAAAGTTCGTCCAGGTGTGGCACATGGACTCGTGTAGGAAGCCGCCGCACCAGCTGAGCGATTGTGTTGGCCTTCAAGCGACGTGTAGGAAAATTGGCCTTGACGAGTGGTTGATTGCGAATCCAGTGGAAAGGAAGATGACCCCATAACACCCGCACTTGAGGGCACGGAAGCAGTGTTTGGTAGAGAGACATCGGGGCTTGTGGACAGCAGTGAGGTATGAGGCATGGAAGATGTGTGGTGCAGTATTGGCTTTCCATGAGGCGATCGACCAATCGTTTGCTGAGTATCTGGAGTGCTGGTGGGGCTGGAGCCACCCAATGGTTGAGAGAGAAGGGTATTCAAATTCGTCGTTGGTACTAAAAACAGCAGTAGTACGTTAGTGCATTAACACTGATAGTTCGCTGTCAAACAATAATAAGGGTACATTCGGGGGCTGGCAACAATGCGATAGCAGAAGGGGGGATACGATATAAAAGCAAATTGTATTATCGAAAAACAACCAAGATAAGGGTGCCGACACTGCGTCAACAAGAAAAGATCAAAAAATAGCTGGTTATCGTGTGAGAAGACGGCATAGACGACTGCAGATAACTCTCAGTATGAGACACAGCTTAAACAAGCAGTCCGATCGTGGGACGACTGCTGACGCGATAATCGTGCAAGTTGCGAGTAATTTCATCAAGCGAAGCATCGTAGACAATCTTCTTCGTTTAGTAGTAAACGAGTCGTCTTGATTAGAATCGCCTAGTATTTCTCTGCGCATCTCAAATGGAAATTAGCATCTTCATCATTATACACGTTAGCTAGAGGTGGAAAACACTTCAGCTAGTGTGCCGCAATACTTAAAAGAAAAAGGGAATAAAATGCAACAGGTGCAAGACAGCTGAGTTACCGGTAACGGATGGGGCATCGTTCCGGTACGCTACTAGCCGGCTACTATGCAGCAAAAAATTTATTGTTAAATTATAATATGCTAAGAAAAGAGATAATGGTTGAATGGTAAGCTAAGGGGGAAGGGGTGGGATAAAGAAACTCACAGCACGAACGCCAATGAGGTCGGGTCCTAGCCATGTCAACAAGCGTACCCAGCCACACGTAATCATCGCCTCTCGGACCACAACCTGCGATCCGAGACGCTCCAACTGAGGCCAGTTTCGAAGTGAGGGTCTTCATTCCTCTCGACCAAGTCATCGCTTGGACACCTCTTCTTCTACCTACACCCCCGTCGTGCAGACAACGAACGTCGCGGAACCCGGTGGGCTGGCATGCGTAACACGTGACCGAGCCAGCGTAGCCTGGTTTACTTCCTTTTCCTGTGTCGTAAACAAGGCGTCGAACATGCTGGTAGCTCACGTGGTGTTCCTATCAGATGTGAGCAAAACTGCGAAGGTACCGGTGGTCGAACGTAACTAGCCACTTTATGTCGACTGATCTAAGGTGCCAGGTTTCACAACGGTACAGTAGGGTCAAACGTACCATTACATTGTACACTCTACCCTTCAGGGCGAGATTGATGTTGCGCCGGCGCCAGTGACCACCAGTGATGAGTCCCAGATAGTGGCGGTCAATGGCATGGAGGCGCCTCGAAGGCGCCGAAGGAGCCATCCTCCGCTGCTGCCGTATTGAAGGATGAGCATGGCAGTGGCCCTGTCAACACAACCTTTGGGAAGGAGAATCTCCTCCTGGTGTCAGGTGTGCCGCAGATCTATGATAGTAACTTTACATATCGCAACATTTGGGCTAACTTCAGCAGTCAAGGTCGGGTCGCTCTTAATGCATCTGCCGAGAATCGGCAGTTTCCCACCGTCAGAGTTAGCAAATGGTTAATGGTGTGAGTGCCAAGCCTATGACAGAAGACAGGACCATTCTGGATAAAAGGTGAAAGCTGTATTGTCTGCTGTGCAATCCAGACCATCCATTTTCCACCAGTTGGTGTCACAATGTCTGCATCGTGATACGCCATACAATGATGAAATTGAATAGAAATGAGGAATTAAACAATTATGGCAAATATTGCTTGTTACAGGAAAGGTATACAACTGTAAACCCATCGAATAAAGAATGTATTATACTGTATTGGGAGGGCAAGGAGAAATTTAAACACCCGCGCACAGCGTTACGACATTAGGCCGTGCCGACAGTTTACAAATGCCTCACGCCGGACGTGCGAAGGGCCGAGCAACTACAGAACAAAGGTGCGGAAAAATCGGTTGGCGAACTCTGGTGATCGCAGGATTGTAGGTTGGCACAAAAGACGGCCAAATATGGTAAACCGATGCAAATCAATCAAGCGGAATGTGTTCACACTGGTTGAAGCCATGGTTCACGGTTTCCATAACTAGAATGTCTGGTAAATCTATAGTCAGAACTGTCCCTTTTCATAGAATATCCACCGTCTACCGTCTCGACTTTTGGTTTCACGGCTGGAATGAAAGTCAAACGGACCGTACGCAGCAGTATTTCAGGCGAAGTAGTACAATGGAATGGATGGGCGCGAATGTTACGTGCGATCGGGGATTACAAGGTTGAGAAGTGCCTCGTTTCCACCTGAGCAGTGGTAGCGATGAGGCGACGTATAATCTAAACGCATCGTTGAGACTATTCTTCTCACAAGGCTTTTATGTCATCAAAAAGTAGACCGTTTTGTCGGTAGCCGCTTAGTGGGCTGCACACATTACGCGCAGCATTAGCGCTTAAATGCACTACTAGAACACCACAGCAAGTTAAAAAGTGTGTGCGGGACTGACCTCGAAAACGACTGAGAAGTTGAGAGGGTGGTTGCTGGGACAAGTGATGGCGTGATTGGTCCACACCGGGATGTCGACGAACATCTGACGGTTGAACTGCCGACTGCGAGAGGGGGCTCGCGCTGGCAGCTGCTGCGGCAGACTGAGCAGCGGCTGCGACAGCTTTCGCTTGTGCCTGAGGCTGTTGTTGTTGTTGTCTGCTGTTGCTGTTGCACTAAATGCATTGGATTTTTCTCAATCTCCAACAGCAGTTGTTCGATCAGGTTGACTTGGCTTAGACGAATCACATGCAGATTCGCCTCTGGGTTCTCCAAAATGTCTTTCAGTTTGGTGTACTTGCGCACATACACGTGGGATTCGGGCTGCATTGATACTAGTTGGATCGCATGGTGCACCGCAGGCAAATACCGGTTTGCAATATCCGTAAGGCGACTGACAATTTGTGCCTGCACCTCGGGTGTTTGAGCTTCATGCGCAGACTTTGAAGAAGAACTACTAGCCGAAGTGCGATTGCCACTGGAGCTGTTGTTTGGACGACCTGGGAAATAGGAAAAAGAAATAACACTGTTCTGGTCTTACTGTCGGTTGGAAGGAGTTCAGATGAAATGTCACAAAACATGCGGGTGCCTACTTCTGGTTGAAAGCTGAGATTATGTGTGTTCTGACGTAAGTGGGGATATATAACACAAACAAAGAAGGAGACTACAGAGATGGAGTTGATACAAAACGCGCTGCTACACACGAGTGATTTAGAGGTGTAGGCGCATACCCGCAAGAGCGCCGGAACCCACGAGCATGAGCAGAGAATAGAAACTGTAATCCCGTTGGGGGTATAGGGGATTTAGTATCAAGAGAGACAATAGCCAATATCTACGGCTCTCATGTCGAAATTCAAAAGTTTGCTGAATAGACGCTACGTGTATTTTCAAAAGAAGAAATAAGCCGGTGTTAAGTAAAACAAGAAAACAGACTGTTTCGCCGTAATAGTAAATTCAGATGCGTAGGTATCATCCAAGCAATTAAGGAGGCAGACATGAATACAAAGTTACGAGGGTCATTCAATAAATAAGGTGAATTTTTCGGTATAAAGAATTCCAATACAGATAGAAGCTTACTTTTTGTTTACTTTTGTTGTTTTACTTCTTTCTCACATGGATGTAATTTCTTTTGCAGATTGAAAAAAACGCTTTGAGAGTTGTAGCGATTAACAAAGATGGCCGACCAAGAAGTATGCTCCAGGACTGAACAGCGGTCAGTTATCAAGTTTTTGGTTGCTGAAGAGTGCAAACCAGTTAAAATTCATAGGAGAATGTCAACTGTGCATGGTGCCAAATGTTTCAGTCGAAAAAATGTCTACAAGTGGGCAAAATTGTTTAAAGAAGGACGGAGCAGTGTTGAGGATGAAGACAGGCCTGGGAGGCCTACAGAAGTGTGATCTCCTGAGGTGATCGAATCAGTCAATGACCTCATTTAGTCGGACAGAAGGGTGACAGTGGATGACATTGCAAGGACTTTGAGCTTATCTGTTGGGGCGGCACACAAAATTGTCTATGTCACCCACTGTCACCCTTCTGTCCGACTGAATGAGGTCATTGACTGATTCGATCACCTCAGGAGACCTCACTTCTCTAGGCCTCCCAGGCCTGTCATCAACCTCAACACTGCTCCGTCCTTCTTTAAACAATTCTGCCCACTTGTAGACATTTTTTCGATTGAAACATGTGGCACCATACACAGTTGACATTCTCCTATGAATTTCAACTGGTTTACACTCTTCAGCAACCAAAAACTTGATAACTGACCGCTGTTCAATCCTGGAGCAAGCTTCTTGATCGGCCATCTTTGTTCATCGTTACAACTCTCAAAGTGTTTTTTCAATCTGCAAAAGAAATTACATCCATGTGAACAAGGAGTGAAACAACAAAAATAAACAAAAAGTAAGCTTCTATCTGTATTGGAATTCTTTATACCAAAAAATTCACCTTATTTATTGAATGACCCTCGTACATGAGTGAAGATGAATGGCATGGTCAATTAAACAGGTTCCCGGCTAGAACGTGTATGAACCGCCTGTTACAGAGTAAGCTTAACATAGTGTGCCAACCCAATAGCTGGCTGACCTGCCCGACCAGACGCACCTACGGCACTGACCACTTGGAATCGCCAGTTGAAGTTTTTCGCTTAGCCGGGTGTAAGAATACGTCGAAAAATCGTCAAATTCAGTTAGTGCAAATCGACGGTTCCGGTAGTCTTAATTCGTTTTACCAGTAATAAACAATTAAAGAAGAAAATAAAAGAACAAGCAAGAGGACATCGATCTAAAAAGAGTTAAGAGAAAGGATGCGATAAAGAATGGAAGGACAAAAGATTGAATCCAACAGCGCTTCTGGCACACATTGGTCTTCCAGCGACAGGTGTTTTCCGAAGCATAATGTGATCGATACACGGGCCACGATCCATCAAGACGGAAAGTAACAATTGTGATTAGAACTTCGGTCGATTTCATATTGTTTCTTTGGGCGTGTCATCAAGAGGAGTGGTGCGCTAGGCTCAGGAGCGAGCAGCGAAACAAGTAAATGGATAAATAAATAAATAAATGGTATGTTCTAGATCATGGGAGAGAATATATGAGTATGTAGAGGTGGGAGAGCCTATGGTGCGCTGAGGTAGATCCTGACAGATGATCTACCCACTGCTGCTACTGTTGTGCCATTTGTTCATGTCCTGGACCCCTCCTCGTGGCGAACGCTGGGTGGGAAGTGGGTTACGCCCTTCTCCCTGAAAAGATCCAGGACACCAATCCGCAAGAGTCAGTGAACTGACCATATGCTAAACCCGTTGCTTTTCGGGTGTATATTTACTCGAAGGCTTTGGCTGAGGACCCGAGTCGTTCTCCTGTCAGGTGTGGGCGCCCTGCCAGTCTCCTAGTCAATCCTATTCGGAGGTTAAGAAGTGGTCGATGGCCCTGTTCACGTAAAACATAGCCATGAGATACAACAGGTCTACGTGCTATAAGCTCGCCGCTCCATTGGCGTGGAACACGAGTGCTACCCATTGTCCCCGACGGTGGGAAGGCACTGCAGTGTGCTCAAAGGTCTGGATACTGCCTACCTCAAGCCAGGCGGCCCTTGGTCAAATTGGGGCAAACCCGCCAAAATCCTCAACCGTCTGGAATTGGTTGCAGGAACGTATACCACTACGGTCGCAAAACATATATGAATCGTTCCAGTACCACAAAGGCTGCGTATGACGGACCTCAAGCAGATCCCAATCTGTCACTGCAATCACATTCTGGAGCTGGATCTGCTCCCCAATGCATTGTGGGACAGGCTATTGGGTCAAAGGCTCCTGGTGGAGTCCCACAAGCAAATCTCCAAATCATCCAGTGCCTTGTGGGTCAGACTATTGAGCCAACGGCTCCAGGTGGAGTCACTAAAGCAAACTTCCGGAGCACAACCGCCACCTCGCGTGCGATTGCCCACCAATGCAATCGTATGCCTGCGCGAAAAGCATTCAGAATCGGGTGCTGGAACGTGAGCACACCACTGGACCGGAACTCGAGTGAGCGCCCTGAGCGACGCACTGCATTAGTCGCGATGGAACTGGCGCGGTACAACATCGATATTGCGGCGCTTAGTGAGACCCTGCTCGCTGAATAAGGTAAGTTGCATGTAGCAGGTGCAGGGTACACGTTCTACTGGGTGGAAAACGGCACCTCAGTACGTAAGGTCCGACCATGTGTTATCTTGATGAGATGCGTGATCAATGCTACAATCAGCTATCCACGGTCATACCGTCTGTGCCGAGGAACGAGCGACCATATCTGCTGGGTGATTTCAACAAGCGCTTTGGGCGTGATGCATCGGTGTGGACAGATGTCCTCGGTCCGTATGGCATTGGTTCAGCAAATGCGAACGGTGAGAGAGTGCATTCAGTATGCCACTCACAGCCTGACCATCACGAACACTCGGTTTGCACTCAGTGCAAGTGGTGTAGCAACTTGGACGCACCCACGAAGTGGTCACGCTCACCTGCCTGACTATGTCACCATACGTCAGCGTGATATGTGTGTAGTGCGCATGACACGTGTACTGCATGGAGCTGACTGTCGCACTGATCACAAATTGGTGCGGACCAAACCGTTCATATGTTTTCAAAAATCTATGTATTGTACTCCCGTCGTGAATCGGCGTAAAGTTAACATTCTCTCCCTAGGTACTGTGGAGAAACGTACTAAGCTGGAGAAGGCGATGGCTGCAGGAATGTGTGATGTGGCCTGCATAATCACAGTGGACGACCTGTGGCATCACATTCACGACCAGGTGACAGCTGCTACCGAGGAGACCATCAGGCGCGCGAAATGTAAGCGGCCCGATTGGTTTGCTAAGAACAATGCGACGATTAGCGCATTGGTGTCGGAGAAGAACACAGCATTTGAAGCACATGTGACAGAACCCAGTGACTTGGGGAAGAAGAGATAGTTTGGGCGAGTTCGACGACGACTGACTCGAGAGCTCCGTCGCATTAAAAGTGCATGGTGGACGGAGGAGGCGTACCAGATGGAATGCTACGCCGAACGCTGCCAACACAAGGAATTCTTTGACTTCCTGAAGGCGGTGTATAGACCGAGGTTGGAGCCGCTGAGAACGCCAATCAAAGTAGTTCGGGTGCTACCTGCACACAGACTGCAGACATAATGCAGATCTGACGGAAACACTTTGGCTGTCTCTTGAACAACCGTTTAGAGATCGACTAGCCTACATTCAACGGCCTC